CATTATTTTCACCCTTATTCAAATAAATAAATTAATAAAAATGATATGTGTAGAAATGGGGAAAGACTCCATTATAGACTGAATTGTGTCCCCCCCAAATTCCTATGTTAAATCTTTGACCTTCAGTATCTCAGAATGTGACTGTATTTGAAGATAGGGCATGTAGAGAAGGGATTAAGTTAAAATGAGGCTGTTGGAGTGGGTCCTAATTCAATCTGACTAGTGTCCTTATGAGAAGAGGGAATTTGGACACACAAAAGAGATTACCAGGGACTTACATGCACACAGAATGAATATGAGAAGCAGCAGCAGGAATGTGACCACCTGCAAACCAAGGAGAGAGACCTCAGGAGAAACCAAGCTGAGAAAATAAATTTCTATTGTTTAAGCCAACTAGTCTATGGTATTGTTTTATGGAAGCCTTGGAAAACTAATACAGATGCTAAAATGTCCACTGTTCAATTAAACTTAAATAAATATGGGAGGGGCACCTGGGTGGCTCAGTTGGTTGAGCATCTGCCTTCAGCTCAGGTCGTGATCTTGGGATCCTGGGATCAAGCCCTCCCTGGGACTCCCCTGCTGAACAGGGAGTCTGCTTCTCCCTCTCCCTCTGCCCCTAACCCCTGCTGTGCACCCTCGCTCTCTCAAATAAATAAATAAAATCTTCTTTTAAAAAAAGGAAAGAAATAAATATGGGAATATAGAAAGAGATATACTATGAATCCTGAAGCATAAATCTCAACTGATGAAATGGAGAGAATCAAGTCTCCTGGTGGGAGGTGGGTCATACAAATACAAATTGATTTGTATTCACACTTTGATAGTGAGTTCATATATAGTTTCACCAACTAGAATATGAACATTATCACTGGAAATCTGCATTATTTATAATATTGAAACTGATTCTACTCATTCCCTTCTTTCTTTTTTAAGATTTATTTGTTTGTTTTTCAGAGAGAAAGAGAGGGAGGGAGGGAGAGCATGAACAGAGGGAATGGCAGGCAGAGGGAGAAGCAGGCTCCCTGCTGAGCAAGGAGCCCAACATAGGGCTCAGTCCCAGGACCCTGGAATAATGACCTGAGCCAAAGGCAGACACTTAACTGACTGAGCCACCCAGCCACCCCTCTACTCATTCCCTTCTATTTACCTCCAAAATTCTATGCCAATTTACTATTTATTTTCTCTCTTTTCTCACTTATAAATTATCCACCCTATTAAATGGCATAGCTGTGACAATTCTAAGTTTCAGCTGCCCGCTATGTTCCCATCCACTTCATCTCTTAAATGTGTTTAAAGCATTAACAATAGGTTGTGTTTCATCCTAGAGACAGCTGGGTTTCAGGGAGAGGTAAAATGTTTCATTATCTCACCCTATTGTCCAAGACAAATGTGCTATTGTATTACATGTGAAATGTCAACTTTGAAGTCTATTAAGGATGTGCTGTGAGGTGAACCATCTGGAAAACACAATGTAGGCTGGAAAATAATTATAAGCCAGTTCATTGCACTTTTTTTTCCAGTGAAGCCTACCATGACAGCCACTAAAAACACTATGTAGTGTTAGGGGTAGAGGCTCTGAAGACACACAGGTTAGACCCTACCTCCAACAATGCTTAACTAGTATGCAAGTTACTTAATTTCCTTGATCCTTTTGTCTTGTCTGTAAAATTGAGAAACTGATACATTTTGCATTGAAGTTTTATGAGAGTTAAATGAAATACTTGTAAATCACTTGGAACAGGGTAGACATTAAGTGTTTTTCTCCTCTCTTCTTTTAAATATAGAGACTATTTCATGTTCTTTACATAGAGAATATTAGATAATCCAGTAATATTTGGAAATCAGATTGAGCAGTCCATTGTAAAGATGTTTTGTAAATTAGTCCATCAAGTTTCCATGTGATTCTTTGAATTTCAGGGGAGAAAGGGGGTTTGGAAGATCAAGTGTGAAGCTTTCTCAGGAATTCTCAGTCTGGAGTGGGTTAGGACCACCTAGATGCGCTTCCTAGGAAGGCGCTGTCCGTGGTGCTAGTAATCGCACGTACCGCTAGCAACATTTCCCCCGCCCAAAATTCTTTTCCAGTCAACTTACTTAGTGAAGCTCACATATCTGCCTCGTGGAAGATTCTCAGACATTTGGCTAATTGGCTTTTTCTCTATCTTACCACTCTTTGTCTATGTCCCCTTCAACTAAAAACAATTTTCTTCCATCTCCTTATCAACTCCAAATAGTTTTCATTTTTTCAGACACTTTGGCCATGCTTACCACTTAAGAAGGTAGCTCAAAAATTGGTTCATGCTATCTTTTTCTGACCTTTTTGTTAAGTTTCAGAGAAATCCAAAGCTCAAATCTAGAATACAGGAAAAATTTTCTGATGCATTCTTTAGAGACTCTTCATCTGGTAACTCCTCTGCATCTCCATCTTGATTTAAGTTCCCCTCTTCTTACTCCCAAAATATCCTATAGATACATCCTCAGTAAAGTTATTGCATTAAATTGAAACTCTCTATTTATTAGTTTTGAGTGCCACCAGGGAAACTTTCTTAAAAGCTAGCACCCATATCTTATTCAATTGTGGACTCCTGGAATATAGGACATACTGAGCTAAATTTTGTTGAACTAATTTAATTACTGGATCCATTAGAAGAAAGATCCCAACAATACTCCTTTAAAAGGCAACCTGCCTTTTTACATTTGGCTGTGCACTAAATTTCAGGGTAGCTACGTTGTTCTGATGAAGATACTCTGGACTGAGTCCATTTGCCACCACATCCGCCACTATCAGTCTGATGACTCAGCCCCTCAGAGTGACCGCCAAAGAAACAATGCCATCCATTTCAAAACTCTGGCTTCCCACTGTCTATATTTCCTCTTCCTTCTCCCATTCTGCCTACACACCTATAATCTCCAGTATACCATGGGTGGGGACTAGCTCCAAAGACTGGTCAAAAACAGCTCATCTATGCTTTTCAACCAGAAGTAGACTTCTATTCCTCTGGCCAGACCAAGAAATGGAGCCACCATCAACAAATAAAAGGACTTTTCTTTTTCAGATAAGAGTGGAGGTTCAAATAAGAGGGAAAAATAGAGAAATTAAGAAGCTGAAAACTAGGGGCACCTGGGTGGCTCAGTCGGTTAAGCAACTGCCTTCGGCTCAGGTCATGATCCTGGGGTCCTGGGATCGAGCCCCGCGTCTGGCTCCCTGCTCAGCAGAGAGCCTGCTTCTCCCTCTCCCTCTGCCTGCCACTCTGCCTACTTGTGCTCTCTCTCTCTCTGTCAAATAAATACATAAAATCTTTAAAGAAAAAAGAAGCTGAAAACTAAGAAATGAGGTGGGGAAGAGAGACGAAAAAAAATGGTTATCAATGCTACCTCCTTCCCTTCCCTATCCAGGTGGATTTCAACTCTGTCTCAGTCAGTAGATCTTCATCCCTAACCACCACTTCTATGGGTTCCCCTGTCTTTGAAGAATTCTTCCTTATTCTTCAATGGATTGCGGAGGGGAGTCCAAGCTAAGGTATGCTAGAAGAAACACGTGAGGGGCGCCTGGGTGGCTGTCATTAAGTGTCTGCCTTTGGCTCAGGTCATGATCCCAGGGTCCTGGGATGGAGGCCGCATTCGGGCTCTCTGCTCAGCGGGAAGCCTGTTTCTCCCTCTCCCACTCCCCCTGCTTGTGTTCCCTCTCTCGCTGTGTCTCTCTCTGTCAAATAAATCAATAAAATCTTTAAAAATTTTTTTAAAAAAAGAAATATGTGAAACAAACTCTCATTTATGAGTAAGCAAGCAATTGCCCTTCCCTAGGCACTCTTCCTCTGCACTCTGAACCGAAATTAATTTGTAAATAACTGTTCCGTGTTAGAAGCAGCTCAATCTAATGTAGTTCCTCATCAAAGCTTTCAGACAACAGATACATAACTTGTGGTTCTCTTCCTATTTTAATCGAACATCAGCTGCAATTTTTTAAATCTTTAAAGCAATACATATGTTAGTTCAAACTCACCTAGGAAGATTGGGAAGAAAGGCAATTGGCCTTTAAATCTTCAGAAGAGGATTTAATGACAGGTTCAGCCTGTTTAATGACAGGCCCAGCACCACACCCCTGTTTTATTATGCTTCATTATTACTGCATAAATTTCCTTTATTACTCATGATAAATAAAAATCAAATACTTGTGAAGTGGGTTTAAACAGGTAAGAGTGCAAACAAAAATAATTCTATTCAAATATCATGAAACTGGAATCTCAGATTCTTAAAATATATATTTATATTTTTTAAAAGTCTCACATATACCAGGTTGCCACTGTCATTTCCAAACTAGGTTTGTTTTTTTGAGGTGTGTGTGTGTGTGTGTGTGTGTGTGTATCCATTATTCAAAGATGAAAAGAATAAAAAACACATTCAAAACAGGATTCTCAGGATTTTTCAGTGACTGATTTTTGACTAATTCAACTAAGAAGACACACCCAAAAGAAAATTGCTAAGGTTGATGCAAGATGTGAAGCTAGTGAAGTTCAAGTACTCCCTGGGGATGAATTTAACCCGCTTGACAGGTGCAAAACTGTCACTTTCAGAAATCTTAGGGGAGACGAAGTTATTTTGAATGCCTTTCTCTTAGTCGTTCAATTGCACAAGGAACGACTAACGTCTCCAGAGCGAAACCAGCTGGCATAGGACTGAAGGAATAGAAATCCTCTGCTCCGCCTGCTGGAGGGAGGGGATTAGGAGCTGAGTGCTTTAATTCAACTTTTCCAAAACCTTAGCTAAGGCCTTGCAGGACACTGGGCCAGCAGGACAGCAAGCTCCGCACGCCCAGTGTCTGGCGCATGCGTCCCAGCGCAGTCCGGGCTGGCTTCCCTCCCGCCCGCCCCTACCTCGTCGGCTGTAACGTCATCTGCGGGCCAGGCCTCCGGGCCAGCGGAGTGGGAAGTGCCAGCGCCGGCCGGCCGGACAGGGGGCGGAGCCTAAGGGGGTGGGGAATGCCCTGCCCGGCCGCCCAGCGTGAAACGGATTCATTCCCAGCCGGCTCTCCATCTAGCCGGAGCGAGGCTCGGCAGTGAACGCTGCGACGCGCCCGCGCTCGGCGGCCGGAGGCACCCTGCGCTCGGCTGCGGCCACGCGAGGCGCTTTTTCCCGGGAGCGAGCCGGGAAAAGCCCGGCTTAACCACGAGTGGCACGGCCATTGCAAGGACCTCCAAGGCGACAGAAGGACGGCGAAAGAGGGCTGAAGCTGACCTGAGCTTTCCCACGGAGGGGAGACGGCGCCAGGGCGAGGTGGGGAACAAGGGAGTGTGGCGACGCTCACGGCCAGCGGTGGATTATCCCGGTCAGTCTGCGTCTGCGGCCTGCAAAATGCGCGAGGAGGACAAGGGCATGCTCGGTGGTGGTGGCGACGACGCGGGTCTGGCCAACGCCTCGGCGCAGGGGCAAGTGGAGACCGTGCGGCAGCTCCTGGAAACCGGTGCGGATCCCAACGGAGTCAACCGCTTCGGGAGGCGGCCGATCCAGGTAGCTGGGGCCCTGGGCCCTCGCCGGCAGGGGGCGCATGAACAAAGGGGAGCGGCCTCCGTGGGACGCGGCTGGGACCGAGATCTTCACCAACGTACCTGTGTCTCTCTTCCTTGAGGTGTGGAGCCCAGGTGTAAAGCAGGTTCTCCCCCACCAAGGATCCTAAAGAGAGGGATTGAAAAAAACCACTACTTCAGTTTGGTTTTCTTTTTAGTAGTGGAAAAAATGTCAATACTCTCTCCCGTCTCGTGATCACAGATGGAAGGGATAAATTCAATTGGGGAGAAAAGGAGAGGTTATTTGGGGAGGAAAACTTTTGTCTGTCTTTCAATAAATATCGATCAACTTTCATTGATAGAGATAATTAAATGACAAATTACACAATCTGGATTAGATTTGAGGAATGATGCAGAATCATAGCGCATGAAAAAAATTACCATGCACTTCTAGGCTGCAATATAAAATTCTCTTGTTCCTTTCTCGTAGAGGCAAACTGAATACAAAGAGATAAGCCAGGATTCCTCGACCACAGAACTTAATTCCTTTTACATTAGCAGTGTCTCTTGAGTGTTACATAAGAAAAAATATGCTTCCATATATTTTTGTTTAATTATACAGTGATTACAAAAGCATGCTTGCAGCAATTTTTAGGTCCTTTTTAAATGGCAGAGGGTCTACATAAATAATTCGCCTCTTCATTGTTAAAATCCTTTATTCAATATGTTTATGAATCCCTTTAATTAGTACTGATTTTTTTAAATTCCTTTAAAATCCAAGGTAATGTTTTGTGCTTTATTGTTGACTATAATGGTTAGTATTCATCTCAGTGTCACGTTCTAGATCCAAGCTGTTATTAAGGAATCTTATTAATTGTGTAGATTTTTAAAGAAATATATGTTCATTCCTTTTGCATTCTTAGAAAAGTGTTATAAGAAGTGAGGGATAGCTTGCGGCTCAGTCGGTTAAGCATCTGCCCTCCCCTGGGGTCATGATCTTAGGGTCCTGAGATCAAGCCCTGCCTCCAGCTCCCTGCTCAGTGGGGAGTCTGCTTCTTCCTCTCCCTCTGCCTCTCCCTCTGCCTCTTCTGCCTCCCCTGCTTGTGTGTGTGCACGCACCATGTGTGCGTGCGCTCTCAAATAAGGGGATAAAATCTTTTTAAAAAAAAAGAAAAAGAAATGAGGAATAGTTTAAAGCTGCAAAAATATTGTAGTTATTAAAGACTTCAAATGATATTAATAATTTTTAAAAGAGATTTTAATTATAGTTTTAATTCATCATTTTCTGAGATACTAAGAACCACTTTTTTTCCCTCTATATATGAAATATCTGACATACATCACTAGTGGAAATGATAACATATCATGGTTTTTAAGGGAGGAAATGGACGTTTCTAATATTCATGAAACAAAAAGTACTGTCTTTCAATTACATGGCACATTTTAAAATACATAAACTCACAAGAATAAAGAAGTCCATTTTGGATATTTAGTTATCAAAAACTGCTTTATTGTTAAAATAAGAAAGTAAATGTTTGTATAATGTACATATACACAAGTGGATGCTACAGGCTTACAGCTCCAAAACATCTTTTTTCTAAATTATTCATTGCTCTGATGTGACTAACATCTGAGCTCTATTTTACATAGCAATTTACTATCTAACATTATAAAATCCTGTTACATTATAAAATCCTGTACAATGTAAATATAGTGTTTATGTTACATTAAATATATTACCCTTTAAACTTTATCCCTTACCTATAATGTAAACTTAAAATATTAAAAATGGTAAATCATCTGTTAAAAAAATAACTCATTTTCATCATCTTATAAGACTAGACGTGACATTACTTTTTCCCCTCTATCTCCAATTTTGGCTCAAACTGTCAGACTATATTCAGTTTATGAGCGCAAACATATACGACAATGAAACATAAAAGCCTCCCACAGCGGATTTAAGAGGAAAACTAAACAACTTAAAACATTATTTCAGGGGTGCCTGGGTGGCTCAGTCATTAAGTGTCTGCCTTCACCTCAGGTCTTGATCCCAGGGTCCTGGGATTGCTCCGCGGGAAGCCTGCTTCTCCCTCTCCCACTCCCCCTGCTTGTGTTCCCTCTCTGGCTGTCTCTCTCTGTCAAATAAATAAACTCTTAAAAAATAAATAAATAAAACATTATTTCTCCTCTAAAGCATTTCTCTCTGTAAAATATCAGCTGACTGCCTAATAAATATTTTTAGATCCGGATTATGGCTGAGGTGGGAGAGACATCAAGGGAAATAATCTAAGACTTTAAAAGCTTTTAGACGTAACTCTGCCCATAAATCATTTAACAAAATAGATTCCCATGTTCCAAAAGAAATCAAAATTTTCCTTTTCGCGCAACGACTATTAGAGCTTTATTATCAGCTCTTTCTTGTCTCCGCATGTTTGGAGAATAAGATGCAACTCAGTTAGGACTGAGTAAAGAGTTATAACAGGGGAGAGGGGGGAGGGTGTTGGGATTGCATCAGCAAACGAAGCATAACCAGACTCCTGAGACTTGTAAGTGCCCCTGCGTTAAGTGGATACTTCATGAATAGGTATTTCTTTGAAACGGTTCTACCTGTCCCGGTCCAGGCCTGAATCTTGCTGCCCTGACCACCGTCCTTGCCCTGACCACTCTGCTCTCTCCGGCAGGTCATGATGATGGGCAGCACCCGGGTGGCCGAGCTGCTGCTGTGCCACGGCGCGGAGCCCAACTGCGCCGACCCTACCACCCTCACCCGACCTGTGCACGACGCGGCGCGGGAGGGTTTCCTGGACACGCTCGTGGTGCTGCACCGAGCCGGCGCGCGGCTGGACGTGCGCGATGCCTGGGGCCGCCTGCCCGTGGACCTGGCTGAGGAGCGGGGCCACCGCGCTGTCGCCGGGTACCTGCGCGCAGCTGCAGGAGACTGATGGCAGGTACCCCCAGCCGCCCACAACGACATTTCTTTTCTCCTCTGTTCCCCACCCCCAACTTAGTTCAAGGGAGGCTACAAATGTGGAGCGGCGGAAAGCCTGAAAGCCTTCCAGGAGACTTGACTCACCGTGGGGGAGGAGAAGCAGACCGTGAACACATTTTTTTTTTCTTTCTTCTTTTCCCCTGGATCCCGCCCTCACACTCACGGTGCAGCCAAACGCAGAGGTGGTACAAATGGATTTCCAGAGAGATTTAGGAGCTGAACGTGAAGCTCCCGAGTGTCGTTCACTTTTCAGGGTTTTCTGGCAAAAAGCGGCCTATAAAGTCCCTAACGACCCCAGGTGTCTGCCAAACTTCACTGGAAGCAAGCTGGCGGCAGAGTGGGAGGCGGCGATGATTGGCATTTGAGCAGGAGGCAGATGGCACATTTGCCCTCTGACCTCGAAGGAGTGCATCGGAAGCCCCTACATTGGGTTTGAGGCGCTGGAGGCTAGAAGGAAACCTCTGAAGACTGAGGAGACGACAACCACGATGCCGAAGACTAGTTCGACAGTAGACGGCATCAGCAGGTGCCCAAGGCTTTATAGGCTGTGTGTTGCCACCCAAGTCCCCTGCGAAGCCCTGGGGACTTGCGCCCATTTCCACCGGATAGTGACGGGAAAGGAGGATGTGAGAGCCACCTTGAATCTTCCCACAGGTCCTACCATCCCTGGGTCAAGACGACACAGAACCGCTCCCGGAGAGGGGCAGGTGCTTGCTGTTTGTTATTCAGTCGAGAGGAGATTCTTGGGGAGTTCCAGAAGTCAGCGCACAGGATGACGTGCTGGATTGTAGGGAGAGCAACTGTCGCGATTAACTGTAACGACTTGCTTCATCTATATACGATAGGATAAAGAACCCCCCCCGTGAAAAGATTTTGTGATATTTTGTACTTTTCAGTTGTTTTTCGGTAACACTCTTACTGGCTTTAAATAACAAAGTAACTCGTGCTCCTCGGTGAGGAAGAAGTACAGCTTTTAAACGAAGCTCTGTCACAGTGCTAAAGCTTACACCCATTCATCCCTAACCTATTTATTTCTTTGTTAAATTTTCTGACCGTTTCCTTCACCAGAGTGTCTCAGGGGGTCAAACTATGAAATATTCCAAATATCTTTTAGAAAACCGATGCACTTGCCCAGTAAATTATTTCGGGGTATTTCCCAAAGGGTTGCTGAAAGAGTAAATTGAGTATAAAACTGTTGAAAATATATGATGATGGCTCATGGAATGTCTTCATACCTGCTGAACAAACTAAAGGTGTACTGCTTTAGGATTTAATGTCCAGCATTGCTTGATTCCTTACAGCATTGGAACAACTGACACTTCAATGCTTTAATAAAGAAAAAACAATAGATTGGACTCAAAGATGTGGATATTTTGGTTTAAAAATGTATGATCGTGGATTTACCACTAACTCCTGAGAAATGTTAAAGACTCAAAGAGGTTCACTTCTCTCACTCTTTATAATAATTATTGATAAATGATATCAACAACAATTTATAAAAAAAAACTGCTACACATACTAGGAAAAGATTTATGGGGTGTGTGTGAGAGAGTGAGAGAAACATAAAAAAAACTAATTTGAGAGACCAAAAGAAGGGGTTTCTTTAAATTGAATAAAAAAAATCTTTACTTCCCCATCAATTCTTTATACCCAAATGAATACATTACTGGGGAAAGTTTGTTGAGAATCAGAGCATTTCTTATTGGGAAAAATAGGTAAGCACTTATTGACACATAACTTGTGCTGGACATACATTAAAATATATTTGTTCATTTAATACTTAAACCTGAGAGACAGGTATCATTTCCCAGATGAGAACAAGATAGAGAAATATTAGTTGATTATTTTTTATAATAGGGTATAATTCTTCCAATGTTCAAGACATGGTTCAAGATTCTACCAGAAGAGCAAGTAGAATCAGTGATCTGGAAAAATGATAGAAGTCATCTGAGAAGCACTTCTGTGGACTACCTTATGTAGAAAATGCAAAAGTCAGTGTCACTTAAAATACAAGAGGTCTGGGGCGCCTGACTGGCTCAGTTGGTAGATAGAGCATGTGACTCTTGATCTTGGGTCATGAGTTCAAGCCCCACATTGGGTGCAGAGATTAAAGAAATAAATAAAATTTAAAAAGTAAAATAAAAAAGATCTGCTTTCACGTATATGTTAGCAGCTAATTATAACCTAATTCTGACATCCTAAGTTTTTTATTATGAACAACCTATTTAGTCATTCTGTGAAAACTTGAATAATTTGGGGGTTGGTATAATTTCACAGTGTTCAGTTAACTAAACTACAAATAGGTATGAACATAGAGATGATAGATGGTAGAAAATATGTAAGAAAATACAATTTTAAGTTTAAAAATTAGTTGAAGGAGCAACAATAGTTGTGTCACAATACTTTCCATGATCTTCTCCTGTCCTATTTATAATGCCAGGGAAGGAAAGGAAGGAAGGAAAGAGGGAAGGAAGAAAAGAGAAGTTAGGACCTGACTGGAAAAATGGAAGACCTGGGTCCCAGGACTGGTTCTCTAACTACATGACCTGAGTCCTGTGACTTTGATTAGCCTCGATTTCCCTCATCTATAAAAGGTGGGAATTAGACTAGATAACTCCAAAGTTCCCTACCATCACTAAAGCTTTATCCCTTTATGAATTTGTGGCATATATGAATGTAGTGGGGTCTTATATTTTATTAGTAATAATTGTGCCATGCTAAGAGTCAAGGAAAGATACATAGAAGAATAGAGAGGAAAGATATATTTTAAAATTCTGGAGCCCTGGAAGGGAAAAAAAAATCTTTATTAAGCACCACCTCCACCAGTTAGTTGAAAAATTACAGACAAATTTGCAAGACAAATTTGCGAAAACTGGAGCAGAAAGGATGCTTTGCAAATTAATAGTTTAAATGTTCAGGTCTTTCTCATTTTGTTTTACCTCTCATTTTCCCTGTTGCTTTTTGCATTTCTCTTAATGCCACTCAAAGCCACTAGAGGAATTAGTTTCTTAAAGTGAGATAAGCAAGTAGACCAAATAGATTTATAAAGTAATGCTGAAGTAGGCATTGCAAACTAATATAAATGTTCTGAAAGAAAAAGTGGTTTTAAAATGAGCATATAACAAGGGATTCTGACCTAGAATGGGTTGGTTTAGGAGTTAGAACCAAGAGAAAAGCTTGGGCTGGGGCACCTAGCTGGCTCAGTTGGTAGAGCATGTGATTCTTGATTTCTGAGTCTTGATTTGGGGTGGTGAGTTCAAGCCCCACGCTGGGTTGTAGAGCTTACTTAAAAAGAGGGAGGGAGGGAGAGAGACAGAGAGAGAGAGAGAAGGTTGGCATATCAGAAGAACAAAGTGTGAAGGTGAGAAAATGCTAAAATACATAGTCATTCAAAGGTAAGTAACTCGGTAAACAGCAGTCATGGATCTTACAGACCCATTTCTAGGGGTCTGTACTTTCTCGTTTGTTTCTATTGGATTCCTTGAAACTTTAGGTCCTTAAATTTTGCCTGGGGGATAGTAGAAACCAGCTGGTTAGGGAAGACTTCTGTATCACCTAAATGTGTACCTGTCGCTATTCAGGAGGGCAGAGAAGGAGATGAAAGCAACAAAAGGAATACAAGGAGGAACAGCTTGGTGGTGTTTTGTGCAAGGTCAGTAATTCAACAGAATTAATCAAATCAAACCAAAACAAACTTATATGGTCTACATACTGACGGGATTTGCGAAATGTTCCCAGACCTAAAATAATCAGAATCTGCTCATTCCCTACTGCCTTGGTTTTCTATAAAACTTTTCTCAAGTTCAGCTACAACAAATAGGATGGCTCCTTTCTTGCCTCTTGACTCCCCCCTCAGAAGATTTTAATATCATTCCTTGCATAAGAAGAATTACTTTACTTTTAGAAATGGTAACTTTTGTAGGTCATTTATATTTATCATTTATATTTAATTAGATAACTATGTATAATATGTATAATGTATAACATAATTATAAATGTATACAAATTAAGTATATTTATTTATTAAATTTTTGTTTTAATTTAATTTAATTTAAATGTTTAAATTTTATATATTTATAATTTCTTTATTAATTTTGCCACAAATTTGCTTTGAAACAAGTGCTGCTAATGAAATAATATGTAACTAGCATGGATTACATACCAAGCACACTAATATAAATCAGCATGTACATCAAAACTGAGCATCCAACTCTGATTCACTAATTTGAAGTTTGAAAGGTTTTGCCAGGGGAAAAAACCCTGAGAGATGTGTGAAGGTGACATGCTGACTCACAGCCATCTACATTATAGTGGAAGTTCACAAAGGACCCCCCAAACACCTGTTAATCCCTTTCCCACTCAGAAGCCCCAGGCATTAGAGTACCAGTACCTGTGGGTCTGAGTTGCTGGGTTCTACCACCTCTCCTAGGGCATAGAAGAAACCTCTGTAGTCCCCTGTATCTCCTCCCAACATGCCACCTAGAGTTTTAAACACTAACCTTGCCTAAAATTTTCGGGCATCTTCTACTACTCTCCAATCTCTGGACTGCCTTCGATAGAGTTATCACATACAGATCTATCCAGAATTGCAGGAGCCTTTTGATCTGCTTAAATATCACCATAAACAAACAAAAAAAAATGTAATGTCATCCTCTCTCTAGAGAAAAATTAAATGACATTTCATTTTACATTCACCTCAGGTATTTATTATATCTTTACAAAGATAGTGCTGTCCCCACCAGTTATTGGAGACCAACAGATAGGGACATGGTTCTCAATCTTGGCTCCATATTAGAATCACCTACATACAGAGATGTTCTAAAATTTAGATTTACTGACCATCAGGTCTACAGAATTAGTATCTCTAGATTTGAGATGTCTGTGGTGGTTACTTTAGAATTTTTGTTCACGGTAAACTTTCAAGCAGTACAAAAAATAAACAAAATTAAGTAAAAATCTCCTAAAACCTCACTACCCCTCCCCATTCTCACTACCCAGGGGTAACCACTCTTTTAAAATTTTTTTAACTAACCTTCCAGAAATA